ACTGTCTGTCGATTGAATAAGTCAAGTGATGCATTGATTGTGCATGATAATAGATTCATGCTCATATCATGACTAATAGAAAGAGAGAAGTCGGATATACTTAGTATATCATCTTCATTGATATTGAATGAGAAAGATCCTGGCACAAGTTGAGAATCACCAATCATAATTGCATTGTTGTAGTTGTTGCTCTTGTATGATATGAATTCCAAAGATGTATCAAGAAATGCATGTTTTGAGATATGTGGATGTTGGTTGAGAATACGTTGAAGTGGAAAATATGAATATTTCATACTATTTGTTGTTATCTCTTGAATATATTCGAGTAGTTTATGTAAACACCAATGAGGATCTAACTGACATCGTAATGGAATAGCATTCTCAAACAGCCCAATGATTGCTTTGAGTTCCTCACTATATCGATTATTATTGACGTTCACAGCCAGACATATATCTGTTTGTCCATTAGTTAATTTAAATAGAAAGATGAAGTACATAGCAAATGTGAGATGTTCAAGCGATATGTTGTTCGATGATGCATGAATAAGAAAGTCATGTGAGAGATCTTGACCAAAATCAAAAGAAATAGTTGCTCTACTACCAGTTCGATGTTCATTTGAGAGACGATATCGATCAAAAGGTAATGGTAAAGGTTGATCAAGTTTACAGTTATGAAGAGCATCAAGCCAAAACATAGTTGCACCAGTCATTGACATTTCTTGTTCAATAACAGCATCTATTATATAATCAAAGAAAAGAATGTATTAGACAAAAGATAAGAACTAATTATATTTACAATCGAGATAACGTAGATTAGTACTGTTGTCATATAGTAATTGGCTTGTTGTATATGCTTGATTGAGATCTTGCAGAAATACTTCCATTGATGGAAAGTCAAATGCAGCATGATGAAAGCTGAAAACAAGTAGACCTTTGTCAGAAAGAAGATGATTTGGAAAGATTTGTTTATGATAAATAACATGACATCGAAAGACAAGACCTTGAGTCAGATCGAAAAGATGAGGATTACGTTTCTCATCGTGTAAAATCTCATTGAGTTGTTCATCTGTTTCATAAGTAGTTTCAATGATTGAAACCATATCATTATTATTATGTTTATCTTCATGAGTGATAACTCGTTGCATAAGTAGATTCTTTTCGATGTCAAAATGAAGTGATGTATGAAGTGAGGAATGTTTGTTAACAGTTAGATGAAGAGCATGACGAAGTTGTTTAACAGATAAAGTATGACCTGGTTGCAGACGATAAACAAATGGCATATTATAGATTGCTGTTTGAGGCTTATCTGGTTCGAATTGAATTTTTTCGTCAAGCCACATACGAGCTTGTGCAAATGATGCTGGTGCTAGAATGATGGGCATTTAATTAATTATTATGTAAAAGCTGGGCGGTCAAACGATGCTTGATATCAATATTCTAGCCATTTGTTATCTATTTTAAGTATACACTCAGTGCCAGTCCGACTGGGTGTTAATTTAATTAATTGATACTTTACTGACTTCCTAGTAACTTGCTTTCAACTTATATGTTATCATCATCTACTTAGGTCATAGTTTAGAAATTGATAGAAAATTGCATTAGAGATTTGCCAAGAATCGATGATATATATAAATAATTAAATATAAACACCTGAGCTATTAGTTGTTTCTAGATCCTCGGCTAGCGATGTGAATGTGAATACGATTGCTGAAAACTTAATGTAAACAACTCATGGAGTAGGTTTGCTTCTGAAAAGATCAGCTGATAAACTCACAAAGTAAAAGTCAAAAAATTCATGATACGCAGTTTGATGTGCGTTCATCTCCTATTTCTAACGGTGGAAACCGCAGTTCCCGATCTCGTTTCTATCAAAAAGGTATTCAAAAAGTACTCAAGAGCATTCATGGTATCAACCTATATGCGACAGAAACAGATCTTTTTGAAATTTTATTATTATGATGTCAATCGAATAGCGATAAAATGGAATAAAAAGGCAGAACAATAGATTCTCTATCTGTTTATATGAAAAGCAAATTTCTCCAAGCAGTCAAAGAGAAATTAGGATGTACGGCACACTATTTTTTGTATGATTTAAGCAATGAAAATAATATATAAATTAAAAGCAAGTGATTATGAAGTCAATAAACTGTAAATTGATTAAATGAATACTCAGCCGAACTGGTACTCAATCCGACTGTACTGGTGCATGCCTATCTATAACTGCATTTCTGTTTTCTTCTATAGAATTAAACTGCTCATAAAGTGAGTGATGATTCTTTAGAAAATGTAGTCAGAAATCAAATATGTCAGCACCATATGACGTCACAGTATAACTATCACTATTCTACTTGATTTGATGAGAAAATGTACTAACGATATAGAGTATTATATCATGTTGTTTTTCCTAGAAAAAGAGTCGTTACATGGACAGATCAAAATTGTAGTTGGGTGCATACGATGGGAATATGCATTTCAATTCATGCATTATTATTCTATATGTATACATACATAGTACAAATATCTCAAATAATATGCATGATCATGTATACAATCAGATGAATTAAAATTTATTATAGAACCAAGTATATGTTTTAAAAACTATTCATAACAAAGAAATAGTGACTATGATGATAAAATTATTAAGAAAGAGTTATGTTGTTATAGTCAGAAAAATGAATGATCTTTTTTTGAATGCTATTGACATCTGTCATTTTGTCGAATTTAATTTTTAGTATTTGAAGAGGTACAGTTACAGATGAAATTGAAAAAATTTATCTGTACAATCAACTCCAACTATTCTTCAGTGCTGCCACCTCTTCTGCTTTTAGCAGAAAAATTCTGCTTTTTGAAGATTTTTCTGCTTTTTTAAATATTAGATCACTCATACTTGTAATCAATAATTCTCATCTGAATGATCATTTTTCGAATTCCAAAAACAAAGTTTTATCAATAATCACTCCTATTACTATGTTATCTTATTTCAACTTGAATTGTCTGTCTTGTGTTTACTAGTTGCTGGCTGTTTCTCTTAATATTGTATACTTAAGTTGAATAATTACACATATTTGTTAATCTATTCTTTTTCTTTATTTCGTTTGATTAAGATTAGAATTTAGTACGCAATTTTGAGGAAAATACATTTCGTATCACTTCGTCATTCCGAATTTCTGTACCAGGTACTCGTTACGAACTCCGCGAAAACCAAAAATAGTTAAAAATAACACATGGAATTAGGAATGGCGATCGAGATTTAACTAAAAAAGCAGTATCACCAGGATAAAATACGCTCGGTAGATCATAACTAATACCAAAAATATTTAATAGTTATCCTTATTGATAAAAAACTTACGAAAAATGATTATGTTCGTAACGATCTCTTGTTAAATTCATTCATGAGCTGTGTGTCAACGTCAATTTATATCTTTATGCTAAATACAAGCTTGATCGTTATGCTCTGTAAGGTTAAATCAGTCGCACTGTAGAAATTCTGTCTTTCTTGAACATCTAGTTAGTCCGTTAAACACCTATTGCTTCTTCTTTTACGATCTTCTATATAAAAAAAGTTTCTGAGCACTAGTCGTACAAGAAATCAAAAATTTTCAGACATTCGTTACTCTCGAATACCTGCACGAAACCGATTTCCTTTACAAACAGTCGGACATGTTGCTAGATGTTCAGGGAAGGTGGTACGAAGCTTAGTTTATCCGCAATTTTTAATTATTATGTTCCATATACGCTTCATAGTATATTTACGTAAGAAACATCTTTTCTGCTTTTTCTTCTGCTTTTTAATCGCGAAATTTCTGTCATTTTCTGCTTTTTATAAACTTTTTTCTGCTTTTTGGACTTCAAAAGGTGGCAGCACTGTAGAGCGCATCAAACTCTACTATTATTTAGTAGTTCACAAAAAAATCACCTTATTTTAGCGAAATAAAAAATTTAATGAGAAGATATGCGAAAGTGATTTTTTAAAATATTACCTTAATAACGACGGCCAGCAGTTCTTTTATACTAGTACCGACGTTCAGTCGTATTTTTACCCTCATAACGACAATAAGGTATTTTTTGACCTTAATATCAACGTAGCTATTTTTTAACCCTAATAATGACACATTCGTCAAAAAATAGTATGAAGAATTTTCATATGACTTATATTCTTATCAACCATTGTATGTGCTAATGCCTTGAAGACTTTGTTATGTTCATTTTTCTCGCGGTGGTTATTAAAAAGCACTTAAACATCTCTGATTATCATCAAAACCAGGTGAATCTATTCTTGTAATTATTGCAATTCTTTAAAGCACTAAGTTTTCATATTTCAGCTTGGCCAGCTATCGACGGCCCAACGTGGCCAAAGTTGAGTAGAAGATTTCCCGAACCTACGACGACCGGACTTGCTTATTCAAAAATTTCTTATAGGTTTTCATAGATACTCTACTGATATATTTCATTTGTTTTGGAAAATGATGAGAAGAAATGGTAGTTGCCAGCCAAAATCATGCATTTTTGAACAAATACGATGAAAAAGGGGCTTTGATGACTGTTATTTTATTTCGCATACTACTTGATTATTTAAGGTAACGGGAATAATAGTGGTATTATCGAAGATTGAGCTACGCGTTGAGATCGATTGATCACCTTTTATGAATGTCAAAGCTGTAAAAAGATGTGCTGTTTAAGGTGCTCAATTTTGATGAGTGCGTTACCCTAATGTTTTGATGAGAACTATTTCTAAAAATAAATTTCTAAAAAACAAATTCCACTATTGCCAGGCCTGATGTCTTAGCTTCAAACAGAGATGATACCATTTTTTTCGTAGCGGCAATTTTTTTAAAAATGTGAATGGTTTTGTATGGCTCCGGTGGAAAGGGTCCTTTTGAATGAGTGCGTTACCACGACTTTCCGAACCCCTAAAACTGTGATAGTACAATCAAATGCAGTGAAATTTTTTGCAAATATAGGGCATCTAACTATCTCGTGAAGCTATAAATTTCAGCTCTCTAGGACCTTTGGCTCTTGAGTTACAACTATCAAAAGGTGAAAAAAGGCTGAGTGAGCTACCTGCGGACATGCTGTATTTGTATGACAGATTTTCATTTTCTATAAGACTCTGACTTTTTCTCATGTTACTTTTACTCTATGTAGAACGAGCATTGCAGATCCAGAATACAGGTAAAATGTTTAATAAATTTTAAAAACATCGTTAACATATGCATGTCTATATGAGATAATGCAAAAATTATATGGGTATGATCTAAAGAAAATAAATATCAGAATGGTGCAAATATTAATTATTTTCTAAAGTCTACTATATTTGAGAAACTGAAAGATATATAAGCAGCTTTAAATGACCTGTTATAACAAATATGACGAAAATGCGTTCCTAAAAAATTAGATAGATTCTGTACATGACAAGAACAAGAGTTGTAAAAAAACAAAAATAATTTTAATTTTAGTCGTTTTTTTATACTATTTTTTGAAGAATGTGTCGTTATTAAGGTCAAAAAATACCTTATTGTCGTTATGAGGGTAAAAATACGACTGAACGTCGGTACTAGTATAAAAGAACTGCTGGCCGTCGTTATTAAGGTAATATTTTAAAAAATCACTTTCGCATATCTTCTCATTAAATTTTTTATTTCGCTAAAATAAGGTGATTTTTTGTGAATTACTAGATAATAGTAGAGTTTGATGCGCTCTACATAATTGTATTAGAGACCATACCTCGATTTCTGAAAGAAAACATGAAAGAATTCTTTTTATTTTAAAAGTACTATTTTACCTATATGTTTTGCTGGAGCGTCGTTATTAAGGTCAAAAAAATGACGGAACGTCGTTATTAGGGAAGTGGTGGTTAATAACGACAGTTGAACACCTTCATCGTAGACCGCTAATTTCGTGGTCATAACACGTAAGAAAAGAGAATATTTGTATATCATTTGAAAGAGAAGAATCTAAAGATCATCAAAATATATAAATATGTTTGGATGATGCGAGAAATAGTCATACACGAAATCAAACAAAATAAGACAAAATTGTCTCGTCGTTATTAGGGGTTTTATCTGTAGTACGATAGATATTAAATAAAACTTCATTCTTCCTTCAATGCTTTAAAGTTTTAAATAAACGTATGCATTCCAATGTTATTACTGGGAATAAGCAGAATTGTGTAAAGCGTAAACTTTGACAGAGTTGATCTTAATATGTATAATACCATCATAGTACTACTATTAAAAAACAACAGTGAAAGCTTCTAAGAAATTAAACGTTTGTCGATATATCATCAGAATAAATGCAAAAATACATCTATCTTGTCTTCTTTTCAACTTTAACATTAACCTCAAAAGTCTCCAACTTCATGAAATAGTAAGTAGACTTACCGTCGTTCAAAACACCTGATTGTCGACAAAAAATAGTATTCTTGACTTCATTAACTTCAACTGGCAGAATAAGATCAACTGTTGATATAGATGTGCAATATAAATCAATGCAATTTGTGCTTGATTTTGATGAAAAGACTTGTTCTAGAACATGTTGAAATCTTCCACTTATGACTGTAACTGTTGTCTCATCAAACATATCACTTGAAAAAACAAAAGAACAAGACAACTGTTTATCATCTGATGATGAATTGTATACAAAGGTCAATGAAAAGTCAAATTTAGCCATTTCATATGAGTCGTTTAACGACACTTGTTCTAGATTAACACCACTCAAACATAAATCATTAACTTCATTTGATATAGTGATGAAATCAAACATTGTTTCAAGAAATGATACATTTGATTGAGTGAGATGTAAATCATTAAGAATATTTTGAAGTGGATAATGAGAATGTTGAAGAATTGATAAACATTTTTCTTGCACATATTTAACTACTTCGTCAAATGACCATTGAGAATCAATCTTAACACGAAATGGTAATGTTGATACAAACATTCCTATCATATTCACTAATTCACTACGATATCGATTAGCATTGATAGAACCAATACATAAATCAGTCTCACCATGAGATAATTTGAATAGGAAAACAGAAAATATGGATAATCCAAGTTGAAAAAGTGTGAGATGATGTGATGATGCATAGTTGAGAAATGATGTACATATTTCATCATCAAAAGTGATTTGAGCTGAAGAAGCTAAACCTGATCGTTGTTGATTAGTTGATGAACGCTGTCGATCAACTGGTAATGATAATGAACGTTCGATATTATATTCTTCAAGTTGAGAATACCAGAATTGACGAGATAATGACATATCCATGGTATGCTCGTGAACAGAATAATCTATATAATTCAATGTATTTTTATCCATAGATAAAGAGTCATCAGACTGATAAGCAAGAGAAAGATCACGAAGGAAGATTGATGTTGATGCTCCATCAAAGCAAGCATGATGAATAGTAAATAACATCAGATCATCTTTGGTCAACAGATCAACATCATTGTGAGTGAATGAATGATTTGATTGATGATGGCGAAGAATATGACAATTAATGCCATGTCCGATTGATAAATCAAATAAATCTAATTGATTCAAAATCTTCTTTACAATTTCATTCTGTTCATGTTCTTCATCAGAAAGATTAATTATCGAAAATCTAGATGATTTTTTATCATTAATAATAGCACCTGTATCTAAACAATGTTGAATAATAGTACCCTTTGCATCAAGATAGAGTGCTGTTCGAAGAATTTGATGTTTTCTGACGATAGATTGAAATGCATGTTGTAATCGTGAAATAGATATATGATCATTCATAGATGAAACACGATAAAATAATGGAATAACATACACGTTGGTATTATTACCTGTTGATGAGAAACGAATTTGTTCATCTAAGAATATACGTTCTTGCGCAAATGATGCTCTAGCTACAAGAGAGAAATAGAATATAGTTAATAGTATATTGATAAACATTCTCTGTTACCTTGAATGATATGTAACGAAGACCAATGATAGTCATTGATATTCTTTGTCATATTCATAGTTTGATGAATGAGTTGAGCATGATCGATGATTGTTGGATGTTGAAATAGATCAGTCAAAGAAAGAGAATTTATTTGTAAATGAAACTCGATCTTGTATCGATGAAAAAGTTGTATGATAAGTAATGAATGACC